CTTCACCGACATGATAAATATATCTATAGAATGCTTTAAATTACTATTTTAAAACGAAATAATTCAAATCGAAAACAAAAACTCTTTCAATATGTAATCCATAAAGATGCATTTCTCTCTAAAGGCACGTCCAATGAGGAGTTGGCGAGTCAGGTTCGTCAAATACATTTTTGCAACATTGACTCAGAAAACATTAGTTTATGAACAAATAATTGAAATATCCCCTCACTATTTTTAACTTTTTTTTTGGCTGCTGTGCCAAAATTGTGTTTGCATTCAGTAGCCTATACAGCAGCATTTTTGTGCCACGTTTAAAAATAACGAAATAAATAAGATTACAATAATAAAATCATGTTATATTGCGTGAAGTTAATGTGAAAATTCTCCTCTAGGCCTACTCCTCCTCCAAAAAAAAAAAGTCTGTGGCATCCGTCATTCTTTTGACTTTTTTTAAAACTCTGATTGATCCATTCATAAAACGAATTTAATTAGTTTGTATTAAATTGTTCTGATTTTCTTCAACATGCATTCAAATTTTCGAATTTATTTCGTGCTGCAAATAATAAATAGGAAAATATAATTGATATGCAGCTTGAACTCAGGCAAAGATCGTAAAAAGACGTTTATTGTTTGTATTTTATCATAAAATTGACAGAAGGCTGAGACTTTGTAGCAACAAAGCACAATGCTGCAATTATTGGGTGGCTTGCGTGCTACAAATAATGAATGGACTTGAAAACTTTAAACATAATTTCCAAGCATTAAGCTATACCCTAAATAAAACAGCTTGTGAATAGTCACGATTCACGTAACTTTATTTACTTCCGAAATTTCAACAATAACTTACTTAAGTTAACCGAGTTGGAGCCCATAATGCTCCATATGGGCCCGGGGCTGACTTGCTACGCCACTGAATAAGACTGATGTACCCACGTTGTAACACAAATAAATGTAAGGTTTTTGGATTTTTCCTTTACTTTAAATGAATGCTTATGGCTCATTACTATTAATAGAAAAAAAACATAGGCTATACAATAAAATAGTACAATGACAAATTCACCTATATTAAACTTTGAACTTTTATTAACTAAATAAATAAGGATATGTTTTACCCGCGTTTAACACAAATAAATAGCCTATGGATTTACCCTTAGGCTACCTTAAAACGATCGTAGTTTGTGGTTTATTATCTTATTAAAACACATCAGCCATAAAATAGTATAATGGCAAATTCGCATATATTGAACATCTACCTTGTATTAACAAAATGAATAAGATGGATATAGCCATTGTAACCCAAATAAATAAGGTATTTTCCCTTATTTAAAACGAATACTCAGTTTGAGGTTCATTATTTTTTAATTTTTTTAATGAAAACCCAGCAACAAAGACAATCACTTATAGGTTATTAAACAAATAAATTAAAGTTTTATTAACAAAAGTTGCGTTTTGGATCATATCATATCATAATTCCTAATGTCAGTCTTCTCGCGTCACTCTTGTAACGTGACCCCCCCCCCCCCCCCCCCCCCCTCCCATCCTC